GCCCTCGGGGGTCTGCGCGCGGCGGGCTGTGGCCAGCAGCCTGGACACGCCGGGTCGGGGAATGCAGGCCGGCGGGCTAGAATTAGGCACGGACACTTAGCGGTTGATTAAAGATTATTTTACTTACACCAAAGATGGTCGCGGTGCAGGCAGGAAAACTTGCTTGAGTTGCAGTTACAAAACAAAACAAAACAAAACAAAACTCGAACCTGCAGGGCACGAGAGTACGTCGCAATGGGTTTTCGGCGATGGGAAGATAAACCTGCAGGACTCGAACCCGGGCAGAGCTCTGGATATACTCACACGAAGTTTGCTAGGCTCCGTGGAACTTGCGCGCAGGGAAGGGGTTCGTCGAGGGATCGTTTGGCGACAGGGAGAGGCCAGAGGTTGATCAGACCCCTGTAGCCTGCGCTGGGTTCGATAGGCTCCGCAGCGCTTAGAGATCTTCACGAGACGTGAAGTTCTCCTCCTCCAGATGGTTATGGAGTCCTCCCTTGCGGGGGTTCTCCTCGGAGTTCTCCAACTTGGGCAGAAACCGCTCAAGCCTCTTATACGGCTAGCATGCCAATCACTAGCCGCCACGTGGGAATAATTTAGAACTGGCCAATAGTGGGACACAACTTTGCATGCGAGTGGCGGGAACTCCTTTGCACCGTGCATTTCTCTTTGCAACTAAGAAATGCACCCTGCAAAGAAAGCTCCTAGTGGCGGGAAATAATTTAGCAATGCCGAAGCGCACACAAACAAAATCACACCCTTGGGTTGTGACAAAAATTAGCCCCAAAATGTCTTATTCTAAGTCTCCTGGTTTTTTAATTTTGCTAATTTAAAAACCGCAAACTGTAGAAAGTCAGAAAGTAAGTGCTTGGTATGCTGCTTGGAGTTATATCATTATTTTATTAGTTAAAACAGTCAAAAATGTTGAATGTTCTTAATCACAACTGAATCACTAAGTGTCATGGTGGCCTGACAGGGGACAAGATACGTGCTGGCCCAAAATCTCTCCAGCATAACAGGAGAGATGTTCTTTTTGTTAAAGAACCAGGATATCTTCCTAAAATGGTTTCATGACAGTCAGGACCTTTGACAAAGTGGCTGTTCTTGAAGATCAGACCCTATTTGAAACTGTTCAGGGGCTCCTGATGTAGTTGAAGATTTTAATGATGAACAACATCTGGGATAGTCCATTTGTTTAACAAAGATCTTCCCATCTCTTGAAAAAGCCAATGCTATGTCAAAGATTGTGCTCACCTGGTTATAATGTCTGGCTGATTCAGGCTATGAGAGTCAGCTGAACAGCTTAATGGAGATGAGGACCTTTGACTTAGCAGTGGCACTTTTCATGCAGAACAGAGGGAATGCACTCTCTAGGCTAGGGAAGACAAAAGCCTAGTGTTGTGTGAGAGATCAGATTACTCTCCAAAGCCTAAAACCTAAAATGCCAGGAAATTCAAAATGAAGGCTTGAAACAGTACATAACCTATATTCCTACACCCACAGATGCCCATCACTCTTAATGCAACCTCCACCTACTCCAAAGAGTGCATGATATCCTTAACTCTGCCCAGGTGTGATACAAGTCTTCCAGCATCTCCTTCTTCATAGTGCCAGAAAGGGTACAGGTGTGCTAGAGGTCTCTGGGCTGTAATGGAGGTGCCTGACATGGAGAGTACAATCTGAGCGCTCTAGTTTTTGGATAGCCAGTCTGAGACAGGTCTGATTTACATAAATCTTGATTATCCACAAGTTCTTGTGACATTGAAACATGGGGTTGCTCCACTGCCCTAAGAATTAATCATCCTTCTGGTGTTTCAAGTTACACCCCCAAAAATGGAGGCAACCCAGATTCACATCCACTGGTGAACATGTACCTCTCAGTAATGTGCCCAAGGTCAGGGGCAGAGCTGGGGTTACAACATGGGGCTAAAGCCAGCTGGCTAATGGGAAAACAGAGCAGTGACTTTGGAAGGGAATTCCATTTGGCCACATCCACCTCGTTACTGGGCATGGATTCCAAAGTTCCTTCTTGGCCATTTTGTATTTGAGACCTATCACTAAAAGGGGAATTTCAGGCATGTTGCAGATAGTCGCTTAATCACAGAAAAAATCAGTTCTGTCATGAGGCTCGCTCTATTTAGGGCAGCAGAGGAAGCAGATGATAAGAGTTAGGTCTCCCAGTGTAAGAGCAGAGCCCTTCCCTTAGAGCACAGGTCAAGGGATCTCAGACTCTCTGGATCACAGTTTTTATATAAAGATTGCCCCCTGGTCACCAACCCTTGCATTCATTATTTCACATCTCACCTCCCTCAATGCCACAGCTCAGCAGTCCCCCGCCTCTCCCATCTGTGCTCAGAGTTGACCTTCACTCTCAACGCCATGGCCCTCACTTCCATGCCTGCTCATGACTTTCACAACCACCTCCCTTCCCACTGACAATAGCAGAACATCCCTGTGCCAATTGCTTATGCGGAAGAGGGATATCAGGAAGGTGCTGAGTGGATCATTGCTCTTTGTGTTGCCATGAGTTGGAAGAAAGAAGGAAAAGACACCCCCTGTGCAGCACAGCTTGAGAGTCTCTGGCTTAGGGGAACAGGTCTCTAATAGGTAATGACAAATCAGCTGTTGATGAGTTTCGGAGCACGGGCTAAGATTTGTTCATAAAAAATAATGATTGAACAACAGATTAATTCCTTCAAAGCACAATGTGCTTGTGGACAAGTCACCAGCTGATAAATGGTCTCTAACCAGAGAATACAGTCTGCAGTGACCAACTGGAGCATCTCCTTATAGGGCTTTCTCACTGCCACCTGCAAGCTCAGCCTGCTGGACCCCTCCATGGTCTTGGCAAAGGCCTAGGCCATTATAGACAACAAATGCCAGCTAAGAAGCCAGAGGACAGGAAGCAAACTGTGAAGCGGGGACTGTGCTGATATTAGGCATGGAGCTCTGCAGGGGTGGCTGCTTGCTGGCAAAACTGAGGACTAGAAGTCAACCAGGTCTGCTGGCAAAAGAACCTGCAAGAGAGCAGGACTCTGGTGTTTCACTCTCTTTAGGCAAAGGAGGGCTGTGGAGGTTCAAATGCACCCATGGCAGGTTCAATACATTCACAGGCATCCCAGGTAACTTGAGGGGGTGGCTTGGGGCTTTTGGCCACCTGAGGCCACTGTGGCAAACTAAATGGAATAGAAAACAACATGACAGGCAGGTTAGAAGATGCCAGGACATGATTATTAACTGGCTTTGACCTTCCCCCTCCTCAAGCGGTAAACAACAGAAGTCAGCCTCTTCTGTATTTAGACATTAGAGTCTGTAGGGGGAGGTCGAGATGGGTTGGATCCAGACACCAGACTCGAGTATTTGTGTTACTGGACTGAGGCCTGGATTTCACTGACGCAAAGGGAATGGTTATGTTTGTTCCTTAGTAAGACTACATTTTCACGCTAGGGTGGAGGGTTAGGGCAACGTTGGATGCTAGTGCTACAAGCCAGCTCTACGAACAAAGACTGCCCAGTGACCCAAGGGGCGTACGGAGGCACCAGGACATGTTGTTGGATGCTTCCTTTTGGACTCTTTGCAATCCCCTGTCCCCAACACACACACTATTAATTATTCACAGTCACACAGAAATAAACAAGTGCTTTTTCCCTGTAAAAGCCCCTTCCCTCCTTGGGGGTTTGAGTTCCATCTTTATTGCATGTTTCATTATGACACAAATAATCACTATCAACATTCACATGCTGCACAAAGGAAACCCCACTTGTGTACAGACCATGCGCTGGGAAGGCAGACAGTACCAGCACATGGATGTGAGACAAGTCACTTAAATTCTCCTGCACTTACAGGGTGTCCAGGCAGCTAGTCATCCTTGCCTCTTTTAAATATTGATTTCTCCTCCTTGTCACTCTTGCTCTCTCCCCTTGCCCCCCCGCCCCATCCCCAGAGCCAGAACTGGGAACGCGAGGAAGGTGAGAATGGCTTAGGGGAGGGCTGTGTCAAAAGCTGGATCAGCCACCACTTGGACCTGCCCCCCCTGTATCCCGCTGGCTGGCGGGAGAACAAGTCCAGCTCTCTCGGATGTGCCATGGAAAGAGGTGAACAGATTCAGGTGCCTCTTGGTAGAGCAGGGCCACAGAAACAGGGATCCAGTCATGACCCCAGCCCTGAGCAAATCCAACTGCTAAAATCCAGGCATTGGATCTGGGTTGTGGGGGGGGCAACGCTCTGCCAGATGCTCAGAACCCAGGGATCTTGTCTGTGGTTGGAATAAGAGCATTTAATGCTCCTTCTTTCGTATGTCTGATGTAAATGCAGAGCAGCAGCTACAACTTTACATTTAGGCGGTTGAGCCAAGCGAGTGCATCAGGAGCAGCAGAGTGTATCCTGCATTTGACGAAGGGGCTGGGGGGAGGGTGCAGGTGTGTGTGTGTAGGTATGTGAGTGCGTGTGGAGGTGGGTGTGTGTGTAGGTGCGAGCGGGTGAGGCTCTGCCCGGGGGCCGCAACCTCCGCGTCCCGAGCCCGCCC